CCTGCACCTCCAAGCCACCAGAAGGAAAGAGAGCAAAGGCCTTTCCTCCTTTCTTCTTATAGCCTGGCTTACGTAAAAATCGTAGGGAATACCGGGTAAATCTGGACCCTTCCTTGGTTACAAACTGGTCACCAAGGAAGGCCTAGACCAAACTACCACAGTAGTACAGAAAGACTCCTGATTCTAATCAATAGAGTAGAAAAAATAAAACAGTGTGAGGTTTGGTGAGGGAGAGAGGATTGTTTGTTTATTTTTATGAACATCCACCCAAAAATCCAAATCAAGGCTGTCATGCATTACACATTTTAATGATACCAGCCATAGGCTGGCATGTGGGAAGCATTTATAACTCCACGGTTTTTCTCTTTGGGATTAAAAAAAAGACTTCTCAATAGAACCTTCTAAACTTGAATGTTATTTGCAAAGTAACAGTCACACCTGAAGTTCATCTGTCAAAGCAAATTGAGGGAAAAATAACATATTGCAAACAAAAGAAACAAAGTTTTTATGGAAAGTTCCCATTGCAGCAGTTGAAGATAGTTTTGCATGCGTTCCTGTTGAAAAAAGCCTAGCAGAAGCCTGTGATTTATAACAGAAATATGAGTATCTTATTGCAGTAATGCATCATGTCACCCATTTCCCTTGAAGAAATCAATCACATTTAAAACACTGACCTGTTTCTGTTTTCCCTTTTCAATACCTGACATACAAAATCCAATTTGTGAACCTGTACCAAAAGAAAGCATATATCATGCAGAGAAATTTTGAGAATTTGTATAAATCATTCCAGATTGTAGTCCTGGAGAACTCATGACAGCAGGAACCTTGTTTTTTAAAAAAAGATACGTTCCTGCCAGCCCAAATCAGATTTAATTGAATTATTCCTAAATCAAGAGAAAGCTTTCTGTTGAAAATATATTTTACTCTTGCAACAGTAATAAGAATTAGATTGTGAAGGACAAAATAGTTTTGGTATGTAAATTGTAGTAAAAGGATGGTAATTTCAATCTTATTGCTCAACATAGGTCTGAGTAGTTCTGTAGGTCAATCAATCTATTGCTGTGTGCCCTTGATTTTTGGGGTTTTTTTTTTGGTCTTTTAAAATATTTTGGAGCATTTGAAATAAATGGTTAATTTCAAGAGGTAGGTATTATAAGGGTTACTGGGTAAAATATTTGATGTATAGTTGTCCACTGTATTGTTACTGTTCTTTTTACATGGTCACTTTAGAATGAATTCGCAATACTAAAGATGTCTCAGATCCCACATGAAAGGGTAAAAGTAAATGATAAAACAAGATCAGAAAAGGCTAAACATGACAAGAGCATTAAAAGTTTAGCAAAACTAAAACGGTGGAATGCAACTCTATTCAAGTTTGGGTAGGGTCCATAATTGTAAATTAAAAAAATTGAGTTTGAATCCCATCTCAGATACTTCCAGTAATATTTGGAAGGGCTGAACTTAACATTCATCTGGCTTTTGACATGACTCAGCTCACGCAGGGCTGTACTGGTTTATGGATTCAGGTTCCCTGGTGCTTTATGCTCCCAGGCGTTTCTCACCTTGATTCCTGTATCTGCAAAAGAAAAACAAGTCTAAGGCTGAATCCCAACAATTTTATTGAGGGTACTGTTAGAAGTATATTACAAGAGCATGGGGTGAAAGGACAAGGGGGAATGGTTTAAGACTGAAAGAGAGTAGGTTTAGATTGGATATTAGGAAACAATCCTTTACTGTGAGTGTGGTAAGGCCCTGGAACAGGTTGCCAAGAGAAGCTGTGGCTACCTCATCCCTGGAAGTGTTCAAAGCCAGGCTGGACAGGGCTTGGAGCAACCTGGGATAGTGGAAGGTGCCCCTGCCCATGGCAGGGGGTGGAACTGAATGGGCTTTAAGGTCCCTTCCATCCCAAAACGTTCCATGATTCTATGAAATGTTGTGTGATTTGAAGACAAAACTTGAAGTATAAGAACCAAGCATTATTTCAGCTTAGCAGTAGTATTAAGAATAACATACAAATGAGAAGAATGAAATCAAAGTGGGGTTCTATTTGTATTTCTATCAAGCAACACTCAGCCTAAAATTTGAGATTCCCTTCTTCTGAATTAAAGAAATGCTTAACTTGTAATCTGGTTTTCTTGATCTGTTTGGGGGGGGGGAAGCTGGGGCATCAAAGAGAAAAGTGAAGGAAGGAAGTAGGGTTTGCAATAGGGTGTAATTATTTAAGTGAATAGATGCTTCAGAGAAGGAAGATCTGGAAGAAGTGTTGAAACTGCTGCAACAACCTTCCTACTCCAGTCTGAATGAAATCTGAAATGTAAATAAGTGGCATAAATGTTGAACAGCAGATTTTATAAGCACTGAGGGCACCACTGACTTGTAATGATTGTTAGTACCAAAACCAGAGCATCCCTGCTGAGTGCTATAATCCAAGAACTGCAAATCTTATTATTTGGAGTGTTCATGCAGAAAACAAATTGCAAAGTAAGGAAGGAATAGTCATTTCCTGATGCTAAATGCTAGCATACAGTGGTTCCCAAAAGTGACTTTCCCAGCATTATCAGGTCTCAGACAGAAATTAAATGTTAGGGCTAAGCTTGAATACCTAATAATGTAATGGTTAAACTTATGAGTGTGTCTGTGAAACCACATCACTGATTTTCACATACCAGAGAAAACAGCAGCTTTTAACTGCAAGTTTGTTTATTTGTGTCCGATGTTTTCACAAAATTTTTTTGTGATGAGGTTTCATAGAATATGTACAATTTGTTAAAAAAAAAGAGTCTTTTTCACATAGTAGTAAATACTGTGATTTACTGGAAAAATCATGATATTTCTTTTCCCTCATTCAGTGCCATCTGTATTTT